TATTTCTAAAAAATCCTGCAAACCTAGTGTTTAATTTTTTAAATTATTTATCAGATTTTGGTGTTCCATACCATAGATAAGCGTTTATGCAATAGCGCGGTTTGTTTACATTCGGCGAATGAGTTTGATTTTACAATAAATATATGTCTGATTTATTTTTAGCAATGTTTTAATAATGAATCTATTCAATTTCATAATAGTGTGAACTGTTTAGTCTCAGTTGAGTCATATACATTTCAAAAACACATATGCAGTACTGAGTGTAAGTTATAAAATCATTACTTTATATAAGTTTTGACATCCAATAGAGAAAATTATGAATTCCAAAGAATGCACTCTTGAAAATTATCCATTAACTAGGGGAATCAGATTTGATATTTCTCACATGTATTTGATAATCATTGATGTAAGAAAAATGGGGTAACTTATTTAAGTGAATTTTAAGTACTAAAATGCATTAAAATGCAGGATTTTGGGTGCCGGACCACCCTTACTTGGCTTCGATTATTTTCAGGATTTTTAGGAAAGGGACACTTTCATCTCTGAATGAACTAGTTCATGTTAATAATAAATTTTGTTTAAAAATCATATTTGTTGTTGATGAAACTAACAAATTTAACTTAAAATTGAATTTTATTTTCTAGAAATCCTTCACCAACAAAATGAACTAGTTCATGTTAATAATAAATTTTGCTTAAAAATCGTATTTGCTGTTGATGAAACTAAACTAAACTGCTCATATCAGAAATTGTAGATATTTCTTCCATGTATACATATACCAATGCAGATTTTGAAATAGCAACTTTGATGAATTCAGTGAAAATGAAGTTTAACAATTGCTGGTTCATGCTAATAATCAGCTGTCTAAGTGGAATTTTTTAAGTTTTTTTTTCTATTTCTATCTTGATTAATATAAACTGTACAGTAAATAAAAGCTGGGTTTTATTTTAGTTTCTCAATAAGAAAAACCATTTCCATTTTAGAATATTTACTACATTATGAACATCACGCTTTGAATTTGTATCCTAATTTTATTTGTCTTTTATGGACAGTGTTCTTTATTTTTGAAGTTATTGTCTCAGAAGATGTTTAAAAATCTCATAAAAGGCAAAAAGATGCTATTTCATGCTCCCTTTTCTTTAAATGTTGAAATTAGCCATTGTGCATTTTTCATAATTGTATATTTATATCCTGGTTTTTGTTTCTCCCTCTTATTAAGCACAGTCTGTAACTTGTAAGTCAATAAATTTTGGTATAATAGAATAATTATTTTGTTACTTGAAGTGATTATATAAAAGATTTAGTACCTTACTATAAAGATGATACATTATCTGTATGTTAGCAGCCATCACTCAGGATTGGCTGGCTCAATCACTGAAATTTTTGGAATGGTTACTGCAAATTGTCCAATGGTATACCTGGGCTATTATGTTTTAAATTTTTTTTGCCTGAAAAATGGAATAAAAAGTTTCAGAATTGGGAACATTATCACTCTTTTATCCACTTGTGGCTTACATCACCCAGAGTTGTCTAGCTCAATTACCATAATTTTTTCTGTGGTAACTGGAAACTATCCGATAGTAGATGGACTATTTTGTTGTAGAATTTGAGTACTTAGTCAATTAAATGAGTCATTTATTACCTTCCACAAAGCAGGGTATGCAATTAACATCTAATGAGATCATTAGGAATTTAATAATGAAATAAGGAAAGAGAACATTATCTAGGTTTGTTCTTTATACAATTTTGGCTTCCTTAGCGAGTACCCTCGGCTGATTTGTGCAATAGGTGCACACCAGGATACTTCATTAACATGCACAAAAGTTTAATATTTTAACACTGTCACATACTGTATGCCATTAAAACTAGTTATTCGTTTTTTTTGTAAGATCTAAACTGGCACAAGCAGTAAGGATTTTAAGTTTTCTTAACATAACTTTGTAAAATTTTAACAGTCCAGAAAATATGTCTATAACCTATGATCATTTTCAGAAATTGATGTTTTGATGGTGTAAATATAAAAAACCAAATAATTGAATCATAATGCTTTTTATTTTTCTGTACTGCAAGTTGACAAATGTGATTAAATGTATATTATGTGTAGTGTTTATGTCACATATTCATTTTATGCAAATTATCTTCCTTCTTTTATATGACTTAATTATGGTTGAAATAAATGATTTGTGATGTCATATACTGTTAACATAACTGTCTTGCTCTCACACTGTTACATCACCTAGTAGTTTATATAATGATAACATACCTAAATTAACTTAGGTTACTATATGGTGAAGTAAAATGGACTGAAAATCTCACAGATATGATCACTACTTTTTGTTGTTTACACACCTTTAATATACTTTTAAGTTTTATTGTTATTACTTATTCCAGCAAGGTGCAACTGATTTCATAATAAAATATTTCAATCTTGTGGTGGTTTATTGATCAAAATGTATTTTGTAAAATTTTGTTTGTTTTCCAGATTCAGTGAGTAACTTGTCACATGCTAACCACTGTTTGAAACTCTCTCATGCAGTCACATAGTTACCAATGCAAATATATTTTCAGACTTCAAGTACCAGTAGTCCATTTGTATCATCAAGTCATGGTCATCCTTCCTTCAACCCTGTCAAGTTGGGATCTCGTGGATCCAATGCAGTAAGTGTTTTGAAGTATGATAGCTATGTACATGTGTGCATGTATTTTATTGGATGTACATATGTGTGTGTATACGCACACACATCTCTGATTAGGTACTTTACATATATTTTTCTAGATGTATTGAGCTTCAGGAAGCTATTTTAAAATAAATACAACACTGCTTATTGAAAACTGTCTAGCATTGTGTGGAACTTTACTTTTATTCATGTGCTGCCCTAGCATGATAGGCTTATTTAGACCTTAAGTTACTGTAGCTGCAACTGTTATCTTCTATCATGTGCTTTCTCCTGATGTCTCCTCTTCCTAATAAGCATAGGTCACTGTCCAGCATGTCTTTCCATCTCATCTGATAACCAATTGGCATACCTCTCTTTAAATTTTATTCTTTCCTCTTGCTTGCATATGACCAGCCAGTGCTTCACTGGAGGCAGTTTATTAGACATTTCCACTACATATATGAACAAGCAAAAGTCCCTCCCCAGTGATGGGAAAAGTTTAAGTCAATCTATCAATTTAAATCATTTCATGGGTTTTAAAAAGGTTAATTGTGTTGCACTCTTGGTTTCACTCAGAGTCGAAGCTCTGAGCTATTTATACTGCCTATCCGCGAAAAGTAATTGTTGAGAATTTTAGTCATACAAAGAATACTCAACATTACCATACGGTGGATCTACATTTTTATTCTTTATGTTATGTCGCATTTTGAAATGTGAATGATAATGTGTTTAATTTCTAACAATTTAGTGTAGAATATCCTGCTTGCAAAATAAAATTTGGCATTAACATTATTCAGGCCTGTTCTTCAGCCATTTCAAGCACAGCTTTTCAAACGGGAAGCAAACAAACATTCGGACAGACACCATGGTTCACAATGTATATATATATATATATGTATGTATGTATATGTATATATAAGGTAAACAAAGTACCAATATTTCATAAAGTCTTTATTTTTTTAAAGAGTAGTCTGTTCTTAAAAAGATTAGCAAGTGAATACAAAGCCTAGTTATCAACCATAACCTAATTCACACTTCCCTCTCAACTGCATTCCTTGCTGGAATTAGTGTCCCAAAATAAGTAAAACAGTGTAATATTTCTATCTCACACTCACCTATTTATTTTACTCCACACTGGCATGCATAACTTTTGATTCCCAACTGTTAATAACCAACCCAACTCTCTTCTTACAGTTCTCCTGGATATTCCAAATGTATCTTCCATTCTTCTTATGTTTACAGCCAACAAATTAATATCATTTGCAAAAATCATCATTTGTATTGATTGTTTTTTGTAGCACTATTCCTCCCTCCTTATTTGCCATTCACTTTGCTATTCATTCCAATCTAAAATGAAGCATAGAGGACAATAAACTCTTCCCACTCTTTCGTTCATGTTTAAACTTTAACTATTATCTTCATATAGATGTCATTTTTCTGGAATTTTAAAGCTTTTTAAAGTATTCCATAGACCATTTCTATAATGTGCCTTCTTAATCAGTTTCCTGTAATTGATGTAATGTAAAAAAATATGATTTATCATTGACTGTCCTGATCTAAATCCACCCTGGTATTCTCCAACTATATTGTGTACAAATGGCATTAATTTTAGCGTAATTATTTTGGAAAATATTTTATCACTGCATAGTAAAAACAAGATACAACAGTAGTGCTCATAATCCTATTCATTTTTTTTTAAGATTATGCAATTAGTACTCTTCTCCATTCCTTCAGTTTACTTACCATTTCCCATACCAGCTGCATTGAATCCAGTATTTCATTAAATAAGATGTCTTCTCCACATTTAATAAATTCAGCTTACCACTTTGTGATTTTTTCATGGCTTCTTCTCTATTCTCTTGTTGGAGATTGTACATGAGTTCCATCATTGTAATTGTTTTTATTTCCTCAATTTGCCATTCTTCTGCTAGATTGTAAGATTCTGGTCTGTTAGGTAGGATGTCATGCTGTTCTTACTACTACCTCCTTAGATTTTAGGGTTCACCTACAGTATTCCATTACCAATCCTTGTGCCTGTTATTTGAGCCTGAAATTCAGTCTTTTCTCACTTTACTTCTTGAAAGAAATCTTTGGTTTGTTTTGTTAATTATTACATACTTAATATTTGTTCAGTAATTCTTTTTCAGAGTACACATTTTGTGTCATTGTCTATTAAATTTTCTTCATTAGACACTAAATGTGGCTCATCAATAAGAAGCAGACCAAAACTTTCTTGAAAGTTAACCATTGTGATTGTATTTATTACCTACTGAAATATTAGAATGTACATAACAGGCCTTTGCTGAACTTGCCTTGACAAATTAATGACACCATGGTCTTATTTTTATGTCTTGACTTTCTGCCAGTGACAGTGACATCTGTTGTACTTATAATATTTGTAAAAGTTTTCAAGTCTCTTGAGTTATTTTAATAACTATCTGAAAAAATGATGACAGGAGTTTTAATGATCTTTGTAATCATTATAATAAACTGACCGAACACCTTTTATTTTTTAATGTCTCATTTCTGAACTACATGTGACTTGATGCTAGATCATACATATATTTGCATATTATACATTGTATGATATTGTACTACCTTATGTGTTTTTCATGTAAAAGTTAACACATTTTACTAAATTTATTTTATTTTCATTTTATGATGAAACTACTTATGAAAAGTCATTCATCTCTTGATCACAATTGTTATCATATTTCGTTCATGTTTTCTATCTTTTGTTGCATAAACTTCCATTAGGAATAGTCAAATTATTCCAAATATATATATATATATCAATGTGCTTTTTAAAATATAAATAAATATTTAATAAACACGAGGACAGCTATAAATTTCTCACCTTAAATCACCAAGGAGTACAAATTGCTCTCCTCAGAACAAAAATTATTTTCTGTAGTACTTATTGATGACATTTTTGATTCTTTATTCTGCTAACCAAAATCAAACCACACAAAAAATACAACTTGCTGTCCAGCACTGCCAAAAGTTATCACTTTGCAACAAAAAACTTGAACCGAAAAATCTCATGTATGTATGTATGATATTGGTTTGCCACATATAGGGGTTACATTTCATGATGAAATAAATTGTATGTTACACCTGCTCTTTCATGGTGAATTTTCATGTAGGATTGATGCTGATTGGCTCTATTCTGGCTGAACATGTTCTATTAACAATTAAAGCAGCCTGTTGGTCTCCAATGAAAATTATTCTTAAAGTACATCAATTTGCACGTGCATTGTCAAATCACATTGGCTTGAAAATAAGTTTGCTTCATGATTGAAGTGAATGAAATTCTCATATTTGCCATGCTGAATGTGGTATTTTAAATTTTTTTTTAAATCGATTCTTGGAATTTTAAGGAATGCTGTTACTTACACTCTTTGGACAAAATTAAGAAGCACAAAGGAGAGAAAGTACAATCTCGCTCCTTAAAAATGGTGTCCTGAATTTAGAATTACTCCATCAAACTGATCAGCTTATAAATTATTATTTTTTACCTTGTTTTAATGATATTCTTCTTGAATTTACTACCATACAGGGAAGAAGAATTTTATAAATTATTCCACTTTTGTTCATAAAGAAAATCCATATTTAGTAGCTTATTGTTTTAAATGGAAGTATGCTTTATTCAGTTTAGGTTTAAAACACCTACCCAAAATGGGTTTGAGCTGAATTCCAAAAATATTAATAATTATGTTGTTTGGCATGAAGATATATACAAAATTAAAAAAATATCCAAGATTTTAAAAAATTTGGTATAAAATATCCAAAGATTTGTGATCATTTGAAAATTAAAACTAAAGTTCAGTTTTATATTTTATTGAATTGAGTAAATTTGTCATATTGTCTTGAATGTATTATGTATTTTACAACGACATAAAAACTGTCCCACAGATTTTATTCTGAGAAAAAATATAAACCAAAATCATACTGATCAAAAATACTTAAGGTAAAGCTACTTCAAATATTACTACATCAACAAAATTAATACCTCCACATTTAAGAATTATTTGAGAAACTGACTGAGTTCTCCAACAAAATTTACAAAAAATGTTTAAGCATACAGGCTTTTATAATGTTTAGATGAGCTTTTGAAGTTGAGGTGAGAGTCATGTATAGGTTTTTCATGGAGTATCTTGTTTATGTGTTTATCTTAAAACACTTGCTTTTTAGGAAAATACTGAAATATGTCTTTTTTTTTTCTTACAGTCCGACAGTCGGGTGCCCAAACCTCCAAAGCCTCCAGACAAACCACTTATGCCATACCTGAGGTACAGTCGTAAGGTAGGATTTTTTTTCCATGTGTTATGCTGTGTTTATTTAAAGACAAAGTTTCAAGTTATACATGATTCTAATATGAGGACTCATTTGAAAAGAACAAGTTCTAATGACAGATTTTGTTTCTGATATCTGCACTTGTTCCAGTATTTAAAGTTAGGAAAGTGCACATGTAATTTTATACTATTATCAAATTTAGTAACATTTTATTGTAAGTTATTAAAAGAACAGTGGTAAAAGACTTTCTTTATTTCATACTTTAGTCCTCGTACTTGAAGTTCTGAAACTATACAGGAATTTCAACTGCATAAGTGTTTTTGGTATCATATGTGGCATTGATAAACCAAAAAGCCTTTTCCTCATCTTGCTTATTACATTAGAAGTATTGTATTTTTATTACAACCATGCTGCTGTCTTTTTGTAAAATTCAAAAACTAACTTTTGACTCTCAAGTTACTCATAAGCCACTAAAATATTTTCTTAGCTTCATTAACCTGATGACCACTGGCTACAAATTCTCTGAGTAGCCAATGCAAGTCTTGCTTTATTTCATTCCAACAATAAAACTAGTGCATGAAATTGTTTGAAACTTCATAAGAACTTTCAAAAATGCACGTAGTTTAAGAAACATAAAGCTTGTTACTTTTGATAAATTTAGTTTTTTTTGTCATTATGCTTTTAATATCTTGGAAAATTACAATAGGAAATGGTATTTATAATAAATGATTATACAATATTTATATTTGTTCCAGATTTGAACTTATTACTTTTTATCTTTTAGTACATTATTTTAAAGTCCCTAAAAATTTATCATCATCCATAAAATGCAAGTTTATCTTTTTTTATATTTTAATAATCATGTACTCTCCTTATGGTTTCAAGTAATATAAAAGATCCAAAAATAATATTT